AAAAAAAAAAAAGAGTACATGCTGCCGACACATAGTGTAAATAGAAATGGAACAAAGATAATGAAACTGACAAGACATAGCTGATATGTATACACTTATTAAAAAGTCTAATAAACAATATTTGCAAAATCTAGTTCAGTTAACATGCCACTATTTTATAGCTTATATTTATATCAAAGCATTAAAATTAGCAATTGTTATCTGAAGTAACTCAATGGTATTTGTATTTGTGTCTGCTTGTGTACCCCAGGTTTTACTGGATCACGAACCTGAATGCAACTGTTGTCTTTCTGGGAATATCTTACATCCAGCACTGGGCCTGGACCCTGGTTTTACTTATTCCTTTTATGTCTGCACTTATGGCTCTGATAACTCTTCATATGATACACTATAACCTGATTTATAAGCCAGAAAAATGTAAGTAAATCACACTTCATATTTATTTTTTTGTTTGTTTTTTATGGCTCTTCTTGACACATTTCCTTCCTTTTTGATTCCTTATAACTTCTCTTTCAACTCAACAGAATTTGCAAACTGTGCCAGTTATTGCACATGAGAGCAAGAGACTACAAGAGTATCAGTAATTTCTATCCTCTTATTTTTCCCTTGTTGAAAATTTTTAATAATGGAGTGTTCTAAACACAAAGAAAAGTAGAAAAATATCGCATATGATCCCCATCTATCTATTTCTCAGCTCATATCCACTCACTTTTTCCCCATCCCACCTAGTAATTTGTCAACAAAGACTAAACATTATAGCATCTGTGTGTGTATGTGTGTGTTGAATACTTTTTTAAGAAACACAATCACAATTTCTTATCACACACCCACATAACATATGGAAAAAGAGAGAAAAAGAATTTCTTAACACCATTAAATACCTGGTTACTGCTAAAATCTAATTGTGTCCACTTTTTAAGTTTATTTTATTTTGTTTTGTTTTGTTTTATAGTTCAAATCAAATCCAAATAAGGCCTATATATTCCAAATGACAGATATAAATCATATATGTTCCCCTCATCTCTATTTCTCTCTTTTCAATTTTCCTCCTAAGAAATTTGAACTTTTCATAGAGCATTTCCCATAGTCTGGATTTTGTTGCTTACATCCACATGGTGTCATCCCCTACTTGCATAAGCAGTAGCAGCGTATCATTCACACTTTTCTCACTTACTTTTTTCATTCATTGTAACCTATGGATTGCTTCATAACCATATATAAAAATATTCCCCATTTCTTTTCATAGCTGCATACTTCTCCATTATATGGTAAGCCATTGCTTATTATATCAGTATCATCGATGGACATTTGGGTCATCTCTTTACTTTTGCTATGTTAAGTAGGTACTAATGAATTGCTTGATCATACCTCTCTTTGCATTTTTTTTCCCCAGCATACCTTTAGCATAGATTCTTAGAAGTAGAGTGTAAGTTAAAAAGTAAATCCTTACATAATTTTGCTACATATTGCCAAATTACTTTCCAGTGTGGTTGTACCATACTGTGTTTCCACTAAAAATGTAATGAGAATTCCTGCTTCCCCCCAGTTTCTCCAAAAGAACATGTTGTAAAACTTTTTGAAGATTTTCCTGTTTGGGGTATATTAACCCTTTGTCTGTGATAAAAGTTGCAAAACTATTCCCTATTTTCATATATCTTTTAACTTTGTTTCTGTGTTACTTTCCATGCATAAGAATTTTTAAGTTCACTTGCTTATTTTATCTTTTTTTGTGGAATGGATTACTTTTATGATAAAATTTATCAATCTATTCCTTATTACTTCTAGATTTTGAGTTATAGCAGAAAACTCACTCCGAGATTATAAAGGACTTCACTTGTATTTTCTTTTGTACTCATATTATTTCTTTCTTTCCCTCATTTTTTTAACTTTTACATATCTGACCCATTTGAAAATAGGTGTGAAGAGTAAATTCAGTATTTTTTTTCCAGGTCTATCAATTAGTCAACCTCACTTATTAAAAAGTCTGTATTTTCCCCACTAATTTGAAACATCCCCTCCATGGTATACTGCCATGCACATTCCGGAGTTCCTATCTTATTTCTTTGGCCAGTCTAGCCATTCACCTATCTTGTTTACCTCTGACTGTAATTTCTAACCTATTTTCCTTTTTTAGTACCATTATCTCTACTACTTGTCTATGCAACTAATAACAATGCATTGAGTTGCATTTTTTTTAAATTAAGCATGTTCACCAACATTCCTTCATTTTCACCACATACCTGTGAGGTAGGCAGGAAAGGCACTGTGTGTCCTTTACAGACCAGACTCCAAGCGCTTTGCCTCCACTCCTGCAGCCCTGAGCATATCTTTGCCATTTCATCTCCCACATTATATTGAAATAATCTATTTATGAATATACTTAAAACTCCTGTGTCTTATCAATGCTTGGAATGTTATAAGAGCACAATCCATGTTTGTTGTTGTGAAATTGAGCGCAGAAACTGAGACATAATTAAACTAACTGATTTACCCATGACCTCACGGAAAATGGGTGAAGTGGAACCAGAGCCCAGGTCTTATTTTTCTCAAGTTAGAGCTCTGCTGCCACATACTGAGGCAGCGAAGCACAGAAAACAGCATCCACAGAAGTCCCTGCTCCTGTTTCTCAGAGCTCTGTGGTCCATAGGTCACAGCTAAGCAGTACCCGCCCTCCTGGTGGTCCATGGAAGGGTTTCAAGAGGCAAAAAAGTACCTGAAAGCCTATCTCTGCCATCCCCAAATAGTGAAAAAGAAGAAAATGTAAAGTGTAAACAGCTACTGAGAGACCAGGTGGCATATTTCTGGAGTGTGTAATTATCAAATAATATATATATGTATGTATATGTGTGTGTGTGCATGTGTGTGTGTGTGTATATATATATATATATATACATATATATATATAATTTTTAGATTAAATTTTCTAAGTAACTATTCAGCATCCATCCATTTGCTTCCCAATTTCAATGTGAAAACATACTCTTCTGAATGAGGAAATACAATTCTTCAGGTAATATAGATCTGTATAATCAACTGTGCGCTGCCAGCCTTTTGTAGTCCATATGTTACATTTTTTAACTTATGATAAAGTAATCTTCCTTTGGACATTTACAAGAACAAAATTCTACTAGCTGCAAGTAAAAGTATGAAGGAAAATACTCACTAGTAGTTTATACAATACTCTAGAAAATGAAGACTTTGGAGTTATTTTGTGTTGTTTTGTTTTGTTTTCTGTTTCCAAATTATAAGATCACCCAACAATGATAAAGTAAAACTCTGTCTTCCCTCTAGCCAAGTATATAATCCTTATTTTGGCTTCTTCCTCTCTGATGACTAAATTGAAAATTCCTCAGAGCTGTAATTCAAAGCCATTGGTGACCTTAAAGAAGTGATTTTTTTATATGCTACCTTTTATTTTAAGGTAACTTTTCAAATGTGGACCATGCATTCCATTATGTTTAGCTGTCAAGCACGGCCTTCATTTGCATTTCTTCCCACTGCTATAATTTTGAGAACTGGCAGGTGACCAAAGCAGAAAAATGTGCATCTACCATCTAGAGTGCAATGTAGGCTTTTTTTATTATAATTAAGTAGCATAGATATTCATGATTAGATCAAGGTCAGAGGAGCAGAACATCAGAGCCAAGGACTTAGAGGTACAAAGAATAGAAAAATTGCTTCTAAAGTTTTTTAAAAAAAACAGTAATAGCTACAGTCTTTAAGTTTTGCAATAAAACATTTAAAATAGCTCATCTGTTTTATTTTAAAATGTGCACGCCTGGTGTGTTTGCTCTGCACATTTAAACTGGAGCTTGAATTTTCAGTTGCGTTTTCATTATAGTTTTTTTTCAACTTCCCATTTCTGCTTCTGGTGGAGAAAAGCAATTTGAGAATTATAATGACAATAGTTTGGGGTGTTTTTTTTTTAAGGCTTAGTCTACATGACACCCAAAATTATTTGTAGAGAAGGCATGAGTTTTCTATTAAGTTTAATGGAATAATCCAAAGAGGTGGTGTGATGTGATGTAGATGTTTTCAACAGGATATCCTTCCTAACACCCAGTGATAGCTCTCCTGTTTGATGGGGCAACAGCTGCTCCCCCAGGGCAGATTATCCTAACTGGTTTATGGCTCCCTGTCAGTTCATTGATCAGTTTAGGTTTATCACTTCCCTGTCCCCTTCCTTCTGACTTAAAACCCATCTGGTACATTGTCCACACCTTCTTAGTCTTCTTGGCTAATGTTTCTCCTCGATTGTTTCCTAACAGAGGTGGAGCCCAACAGTCCATTCCAGAGACCCTGACTCTTTCTACCCTCTTCCCGCAAGCAATTTCTAATCCTACGACTTTTAATAACAACCACACACCAAACACTCAATTTCACTTTGAAACTCATATCCAACTTTCTATTCAACATTTTTTTTTATGGTAGAAAACTTTTATTTTTCAATTTAATACATTTATACATAGCTTACCTTCTCCTCCCTGCATGTATATGCATTTTTAATAAAACTTCTTGTCAGATAGATCGACCACATATGTTCAACTCTACCTCCTGAGAATGCATTAAAATAAAAATAAAGGAACAAAAAAAGTGTAAGCTCTCAAAATTGAAGAGAACAGAAAAGAGCCCATTAAGAAATGAGATGTTTCCACACAGTTTTGAAAATGGAAATTGGCAATTTTAACGTGATTATCTAAAAAAGTCGTCTCAAACTCAACCTGACCAAAACTCAACTCCCAATTCACACAACTGCAAATTCACACCTTTCTGGTCTTCTCCATCTCAATGCAAGTCACTCCCACCTAGTGGTTCAAGGAAAAATCAAGTAGTCATCCTCAGATTTTCTCATGTCTTCAAACTCTCCCATCAGAAAATTCTATTGATCAAGAAGCACATGCCAGCCTGTTCACCTCTTCGTTGTTTCCACTATATCCACATCACCACTACCCTCGCTCCCAGCCTCCTCTCTAAAATTCATTATCCATACAGCTGCCAGAGGTCCAGAGTAACTTTTTGAAAATATCCATCATATGATATCTCTCCTCTGCATAAAACTTCCTAATGGAGTCCCATAGCACCGAGGATAGACTCCAGACTTCTTACTTTGGTGTAGCACCTGACCCTTGACCAGAACTTGGACATCATGTCCTTCTAATCTTCTCACTAAATGAGCTACTGCCTCGTTGACATTTACTGTTTTCTGAACCTCAACCTGCTCATTTCTACCTCATGATGTGCCTGGCATATGCTTCCTCCAGGTCTTTTGCCTACTTCCAGTCATTCAAATCCTCCATTCAAATTTCAGTCCTGTTGGTCTCCTTTATACCATCTCATTATGGGTCTCTATTTTATCAGTCCATTTTGTTTTCATCATTGAACTTGTCTAATATTTTCCTGCTTGTTCAGTGTCTTTATCAGCAGAAAGAAAACTAAAGGATTTGTAGGTCTTGTTCACTGCTATACTTTCAGGGCCTAGACGAGTCCTTGGTACATAACAAGCACATAATCTGTTGAATGAATCAATGAATTGCATTCGCATTTGTTCAGCATCACTTGTGTACACTCACCATGCTAGCCAAATTTTAAACCTTATCCATTCTTAATCATTCTTATTCTTAATCTTTTTGTTTTTGTTGCTTTACATCACCCTATCAGATACAATTTTACATGTTTAAATACATTCATGTTTAAAAGTGTATTCAGCTGAAGCCAGTGCTATTCAAAGGCTGCAGCACGGAATAGTGCTGAGTATTTTGTATGCAACAAAATAAATGCAGACACTGAGAGAAAACATAGAAGCATTTATGGAAAGTTACATTTTATGTCGTTTGAATCTAATAATAAAAATAGCAGGGCTTACATTTTGTATCTTTGGTACTAGTTTGTTTTACTCTTTAGATATTTCATTTTTTATTGTATTTCAAAAATGTATTGACCATGAGAGCTGAGACATTTTTTTAACTGATCTTTTAACACAACTAACTGAAGAAGCACTAGTGTAAGCAATTTCTTTTTAGAAATAATATGATAGTGATAGTTAACATCTTAATATGATTACAGTTATCAATTTACTGTGCATTAAGAGCAGATTCAAATTTATCTTGCAACAAATAATGATTTATTTATACAATAAGGGAATAATGACCTTAAAACATACTATATTCAATGTTAGACCCTGAATTTTTAAAATAAGGGGGAAAATTGTGTAGAATATCTTTGTAAATAGTTTTTCATTCTGCAAATTGTTATCACTTCATATTAAAGTCTATTTAGAGCATAGAGGAAGTGGGATCAGTGCCCGTAATAACCCGACTATCTATACAGCGCTGTTTCGCCAAAGTTGAGCAGAGAACAGGTTCCTGAATGACAGAGACAAGATCACAAGGATATGTCAGGAAGTCTCTGAACCCAGACCTGTTCAAATTCGGTCTCTAGACTACTCATCAGGACATTCTCAGTTCTCATCTTACTGAAACCTTAAGAAAGCTAATTGAAATGACTAAGGAAATCTCAGAGCAGTTCTTCCCACAATACTAAAGATTTGTCACTACTACTTTTTCCTAAGGGACACAGTCCTTGGCCACTCACAGGCATTCCTGCCCCCGTGGCCTTCTCAGTCCCTGCACCTTTTGTGTGCATCTGGCAATAGTGACAAAGAAGAGGCAATAGTGACTATGGAATTGAGCCTATCTCCTAGCAGCACTTATCCCGACATGCTCCCACCTGACTTCCACACACTTCATAGGCGCCACCAAAAAGCCACTCCTGTAATCATTTTTGGTCACTAACAACTTGGGCTGGATTTGATTCAGTGGCTTAGAGGTGAAAGGCTCCATATTCAATTACCAGTCCCCCAGCTTCCTCAATTAATCAAAGGCTGACATAATAGGTCTATTAAAACTCTTGAAAAGAGAACAAATCAATATAATCCCTCTATAACCATAAAAAAATATTAATAAATATTCTTTATTTAAATATAGAACCCAGTACTCCATAGTATTTAAACGAATTTGGTTAGAATGCATTGCATCTAGAATTGTATTACAGGACACTTGAATATAATCAAAATGATGATCAAACTGCTTTGAATTTCTATAGCAGCCTTCTTCAGAGAAACTAAAAATATTTCACATTTATTATATCATTTATCCTGTGACCATAGTTTGATGTACATGTAATTTGTGGCAGGATTTGTCTGGTCAAGGGAGTGCTATGAAAAATCGTAACAATAATGAGGGCACAGTTGAGCTGCTAGCCTAACTGGGGTGAGGGTGGGTCTCTTACCTGTCATTGTATCAGGAAGTCTTAATGGAATTAAAGGAAAGGTGGAATCATAAAGGAAGCAACAATGAGATTGCAAATCACTAGCAGTCAGTGACTGCTAACATTTGAAGCCATAAAATGCTTCTGATGCTAAAGCGACAGCCACATAAACCTAGAGGAAACTACTGGAAAAGTCAAAAGCCAACTAATTCAATCTGAACTTTCAGTGACCTGCTAACATGTATAAAGTCATTTGAAGAATTCAAAGTTTACCCTTATGTCTGAAATTCAAGGATAAAATCAAGGCAAAGAATACATTTCCCTTCATCTCCATGTAAAAATAAGAAACCGCCCTCTACCTGACAAGTAATGTGAGGATTATTTATATTAAAAAATCGTACCAGTTCTTTGTGTTAAAGTTCTGTACAAGAAAGTTCAGCTTGTCTTATTCATTAGTGTGTAAATGTTAGAGACTTCTGAGAGAATCTGAAATCTTTTACTTTGGTGTTTTATTTTGTCATCTTTCTTCCCTTTTTAATGTGTTTCCATTGATCTTACCTTTTTCATTTTTTACATCAGCTGTCAGGTGCCACCGTGGGCTGGTCACCAGGATGCCAGAATCCTTGTCAGAAGCTTGTCCCTTGGAATGCGATTCCTTGGGTGCTAAAACCTCCTCAGTCACTTTACTGTCCTTTATCCTTTGGATTGTTGTCTTTCTGATTGATATTTTGGAAAACTGAAGAGCAATTCCTTTACTAATACATAGTGTCTCCAATTATGCGCAGGTTACTCCCTCCTGACAGTCTTTGGGGTGTTTATTAATGCCCTGAAAATATGCTGTCTGCGATATTGCCATCCTGGCGGGGATGTGAAAAACTGGCTGGACCATGCCAAGGGAAAAAATGGTGGCTGCTACAGTGAGCTCCATGTGGAAGACACAAAATTTTTCTTCACCCTTCTCCCTCTCTTCATTTTTCAGCTCCTTTACAGAATGTGCATTATGCAGGTAAGGAAGGGTAATTAAGACTATCCCAACAATAAAATGATTTGCATGTTAACATTACAGGTAAACACTTATTTCCATCCCAACAAGCACTTCCCATATATTTCACCTGGTAATCATCTTATAAATGCTTTGGGTCATCACAGGGCCTATTTTTAAGAGCTAATTAAGGTCAGGCAAAGGCATACCTGGGTATGCTGTTTCTCCTCTAGAACTATAAATGTCTGTCAGTAGGTATTGAGAATACTTCAGAATGCATAGTCATAAGGCATAAGAGCTGCACATGAAAATATGAAATCCGTGGACAGTTATCCAACCTGCCCTTAGCCAAAGGTTTGGCCTTTATCATTAAAAAAACAGTACTAACAAGTAGCTATATTGACTGACTTGAGTACCACCTCCATTGTACTCTCAGGTAAAAATACTAATGAGCAAATGATTCTCTCCCTGCCTACTCTTAGTTCCTTGGTGACTCTCATGTGGAGAAATCAGGGAAACACTAAAAGTCTAAAGTAACTTTTATAAATATACATGATTTTTAAAAAATTTTAATATGGTGATGGCCAAAAACTAAGCTACTTATGAAGATTATGATATGATTATGAAGTCTGAAAAATTTGGGGACCATCTTCATTGCTAACCCCCAACTTAGAATTTAGATGACTAGTGAGTAAGCTATATTCATAAATCATAGAACAATAGAGTAGAAAAGACACTTTGAGATTAATTTACTCAAGTACTTCACTAGCCGAAGAGAAAAACTGAGGCTCAGAAAAACTGAGTGATTTTGGAAGGGATATAGGTAAGTCACACAGTTAGTAGTAGTAAAAGGAAAAGCAGAGAAAAGCAGTCTACCTTCTGACTCTTAGTACAATACTTGCTCCTCTAAAGCAAGGGTGAGCAAATCACTCCTTCCAGGCCAAATCCTGCCCATGACCTTTTTTCATGTCCTGCAAGGTAAGAAGGTTTTTACATTTTCATATGGTTGAAAAAAATCAAAAGAAGAAAAATATTTTGTGGCACATGAAAATTATATTAAACTCAAAATTCTGTATCCAGAAATAAAGTTTTATTGGAACATAGCTGCTCTCCTTTGTTTATCATCCTATATCCGCTTATGCAACAAACAGCAAAGTTGCGTAATTGCAATAAAAAACACTATGTTTATTATCTGGCCCTTCACAGAAAAATTTGCTGACAACCCTTTCCCTAAACAATGCATGAAAGTTAGGCTAATTTAGCAGATTCAACCTCCCTCCTGACTCCATGACAACAACTGGCATAACACTACCATAAAAACTTACCTCTATATATTATCATTAATATCATAAACTCATCATAGATTGGAGAAATTAATAGTAAGTATAAAATTATAAAAATAAAATCATTAAAAGTGGTCCATGCTAGCCTCAAACCTCCTATGCAAATAGCCCAAATTACTGATTCTTTAGCTTCCTAAAATGACACCTGATATTTCTTTTGGCTACGATCAAGCTTTCTCTGCAAACTGTCATTTAGTTTTTAATTTGACATAAATTACAATACATTTTGATAAACTCATTTTAACCTTCACCAAAGCTAGATGCCTAGTTTATTGCAAAGAAGAAAAGCAAAATACTTTTTGGTCGCCTTCACATGTCACAGCATCTAAAAGATGACTTAACAGTATCTAATTTGATCCTCATAGCACGCCCCCATGGCCGATATTAGCATCTTAAGTCTGAGGCTCAGAGACATGAAGTAACTTGCAATTTGCCTGCAGTCACCTGCTAGTACATGGAAGAATGGCCATCCCAGCGGTGGGGCTGGTATCAACTCCTATACTTTGCTATTACCCACAATGCCTCTCTTGCAACTGGGTTAAAAATCCCTGATACAGACTATATGGGTTCTAAAATTATGTAGTCATGTTATTCCAGAAACTTCAGAGAAAATGGTTATGATATACTTCTCAAGGGAAGCAGAGAAAAAATTTCACTGGAATAGACTGGAATTAGATTTTTGTCTCCAGATGAAATCATCACCAGGATAAAGGTGATCAAAGTACCAAGAATAAAACATCCCATATTTTAAATTTGTAGCCATTATTGACCTTCAGTTCCAAGGCACACATTTAAAATATGTTGATATTCAGGCCAGGGATGCTGCCATTTGACATTATTGGCCACTCAAAGGTGAAAATGAATCTCTATTGACAGCACTTATTTCTGAATACTCAGAGGCTTGTATGAAATAAAAGTATTTAAAATTTTAAAAGGGGATGATTTCAGAACTTGAGGCAGAAGCAGAAATGATTTCAAACTTTCAAGACAGTGGAGCCTTTTCTTAGATTAGGCAATATATTAATATTGCTTCACTAAAGATTAATAGTACATTTGCCACATTATTAAGTTAACAGGTTTCTGTGTCTGTGATTCATGCCGATAATAACTTTATTCCTATTAACAATAATTCTCATTTGAAATCAGTAACAGAAACTTCCAAGTTACGCTGGGAGCCTTTCAGTCTTAGGGTAGTTCAGCTGCCAGCACTTTTTTTAAAAAAACATCATTCATTCTCCTCTGATTGAGGAATACATGCTTAATAATTTTACTGAGCAAGGGCAGAACTGTCTAAAGTTCTCTTCACTCTTGCCATCTGTATCCAACCAAAGCAATCCTTGTTTATCATCCTAAGGGTCAAATTAAAGATTGGGAGATAAATTACCATCAGGGTAAACTTCACATAGAAAGAATTTAAGTGAAAATGTAGTCCATTCCTAAGTTTAGGCAGTTAAGTGCAATAGGCTCATTTTACAAGCAGTGGGCTTATTAATAGCTGTACTGACCAATGACTCTGACCCTCCTTATACCCTCCCAAGCTGTACAATTGACAATAAAGAAGGAGTTAGTGAAGGTTTCAAACAAGAAGTTCTTTGAGCCAAGCTGCTCTTCCAAATTGGTGCTAAGGCTAGAATCCTAATGTAGAGCATGCACCATAAGAAAAATTGTTTGGAGAATCCATTTGTCAAGGACAAGACTCAGGTTGACCTCCTCTCAGCTTCTGTTCCACTGGGAATTAAAGAAATCCTATGTGCTACTAATGATAATGATGAATGATTGCAGCAAAACTAATGAACTAGAAAAGTGAGGACATGCCCCTTTCTCATGACACAGTACTTTAATTTAGCTCTGATGTTGTAACCTAACAAGAATATAGGAAGAGATTCCAAGTTACACCTAGAGGTTTAGTTAGTCTTAGGGTTTCAAAATGAAGAGATTCTAACACTACACTGAAGGTTTTGGTTGGGGCAGGAATGTTTTCTTTTCTCATTTCTTATCTGCTACTTCTTCATGCAAGCTTCTTTCAGGCAGTTTCCTTTGTGGTCTGCTGGTGCCACATAATTAATTCAAAAGGAGAGTAAAGACACTAGTATATACTCTCTCCTCTCTCTCTCTCTCTCTCTCTCTCTCTCTCCTTTCTCTCTTTTTTCATGTTACTTGGCTCATATTAGAAACGAGGCAATCCAGATAGCCCACAAGACAGCCTACAACAAGTACTGCGTTTCTACACTACACTGGACCCCACATCTTAGGAAAAAATCGTGCCTATCTATTTTGCCACCAAATCAGATGCTATTTAAAAGATCTGTTCTGGCTCAAAACTTGTTTTCACCAGGGTGAAAACAAATGCCCTTAATACTTTTTACTGGATTTTCCTTTATTGTATGAAAAAAAAAGTCCATTTGCTTATATCCAAAACTTAAGTTTGTGATTTCTCATTTGTCATCCTCAGCACAAAATTAGGGCCACTTTTACTTTTCATAAGAAAATTAAGAAAATAGATATGACGACAAGAGATTCTTCCATAAAGAAACAGTGGTATTTATTGTCAATTGACTAAACAGACCTCCTACCGCCCTTAGTCAACTCATAACTGGGATCTTGAAGAGCCAGGGGACATCAGAGCACAAGCAAGGGGCAAGGCATCTACCATAGAATGCTTTCTCCAAAGTTAAACCACCCTCTTAATGCATGGCTGCTTCCCCACTCACATACAGATTCCTTCAGGATATTATCTGCAGACCATGAATTCCAACCTGAATTTGGATGGATTTCTTCTGCCAGTTGCAGTAATGAATGTCATCAGTATCCTACCACTGTTAATCCTGGCTCCTTTTCTGGACTATGTCAGCAACTGCCTTTTTCCCTCTAAGAGAGATGGGGCATGTGTGTCAGCATGCATTAGTAAGTACAATTTACCGTGTCATGTGAAATGTTTGCAACTTTTCAAATAAAATATATTCTGCTGAGATCTAAGCTAGCTATATGCTGTGAAGTAGAGTCCAGTTTAGACAAATTGGGAAGAAGATGAGTTTTGGAGTGATAACCTCCAGCTTATCAAGTCTCTGTGCAGACGTCAGCATTTCCTTCCCATCCTTTTATGGTTCCTCAGAAGACACACCTGATATAAATACATGGTGAAATTTCCAAATAGACCAAACAGCCTATCCCTCTTCAAGTAAGGTGATTGTTATTACCAAGTGCATGTTAAGAGTATGTTCTTAAAAATTAACACAGGTAATGAACCTATAAAAATAATGCCAGGCTATACTTGGGTGGCATTAACTTCTGAACCAGTAACAAAATGTATGAAAAATTAGTACCATGATTCACAACTTCAATATAGTACCTCCCCAAATAGTAAGGCTGTATAGTAATAATTTTCAAAGATTTTCTCCCGCTTGATTGAGATATAACTGCCATATAACACTGTGCAAGTTTAAAGTGTACAATGTGATGATTTGATACATGTATATATTGTAAAACATTTACCGCAGTAACATAGTTAGTTATATTCTTTACCTCATATAATTACCATTTTGTTGTTGCTGTTATGGTTGAGAACATCAAAGCTTTACTTTCCTTTTTTAAAGTGAAAAAGTTTAGGACCTCTTACTCAGAACACAATTAATAGACCATAAAATAAAATGTCCCCAATTGAAATGGGGAAGGAGCTGAAGTCCCTCCTGATTACATGCCCCTCTGCTGAGCTGGGTCCCTCCAGCGCCGCCAAGGAGCAGGAAGACAAGCACTGGTACAATAAAGCCAAGCAACCAGAGACCTGGTCTCAGCCACGGTTCCACCGCTGAGCTGCTTTGGGGTGACTTCGAAAAGCCACCTAACCTTTCTCGTCTTCTAGCTCAGTTATTTTTTTCACCAAGGGGTGAACTCTAGACAAATTTTGAGTCCCTTTGTTCTGTAAGACTTTTGAAGTCACTCAGGATGACATCAGCACCTGCAGCAGAGTCTGACATGTAGTGAAAGCTCCATAAATGTTGGCTAATATTGAGCCATCATTTGCGAAGGACCAGCTTAATTGCTTATTGGGCATAAAAAGAAAGCAAAGGGAATTTGAAATTCTTAAGAAATATCATGTAATGGCAAGCTTATTAACTGCTTGAGAAATAATTCCATTGAAATAGATAGAGTCAGGCATCTAGAAGATTCTCTTCTCTTGGCTGACCTTATTTTAAATTCCTCCTTTTTAGAGATTTGTGGAGACCATGCAGACTTTTAGTAACTCATTATTATTTTTTTACTGTTTCTCTTTATATAGAAGCTACGTTTTAGGGTGCATGCTTCCTGTTATTCACCGAAGCTTTCAACAAGGTCACTCCAGGTCACATTATAGGGTAGATTGTTATTAGAAAGAACTCAGTGACTAAACTTTCCTCAGTTTATTTTATTATCTTCAGTTATAAAGTCTTTAGTACATAACCTTTGTGATTTATTTCTTAAGCCAGAAACCCTGACATTATTTGTTGTAATAGGTTTAGGCAAACTATAAATCCTAATAGGTTTTGACAATTCTTAAATCTCAAAAGGTGCTTTTTTGTCTGTCAATAACTGGTATTTAGTAAATGCCCAGTACTATTTGAAGATACAAAAGAAAAGTAAGACACTGTGAATATACTTAGCAAATACATGTAAAACAGAATGAATGCAGGACAAAATTGGGGTAAATTTATATTGCAAAATACCAGCAGTCTTGTACAGTATTAGGAAAATCCAGTCTGAAGTTCCTAAATTATGCTTCATTACTGAAATTTTTTTCAATTGGGCTATTTAGGAAAATGTGCTACACAACATGACTGATAGAACTACATTAGAAATCCTTTCTGAAAATAAATATTTTTTATTGGAATATAGTTGAAATACAATATTATAATGGTTTCAGATGTACAACATAGTGATTTGATACTTATATACATTACTAAAAGCTCACCACAAGTGTAGTTACCCCTGCTACCATACCAAGATACTACAATATTATTGGTTATATTTTTTATGCTGTATTTCCATTCCTTTGACTAATTTTGTAATTCACTATGAAGTGAATGCAATTTTGTAATTATTTGCACCTCTTTATTCTCTTCACCTATATCACCCATACCCCCTCCATGGTAACCAACAGTCTGTTGTCACTATTTATGGGTCTATTTAACAGAATAAGAAATCTTAAATTCACTCTAAAGATGAGCAACTTTTTCTTGGACAATTTTCCATTCTTGCATATTTGAAATCAATGCAAGTCTTAAGGAGAAGTATGGTTTTTCTATGGATAGAGTAAAGTTAGAGCTATCTAATAAATTGTTTTATGTTAATGAACTAAAATTCTCCTTCAAGAACAGACTTGTCAGGCAAGAAAAAGGAAATCTAGACTCATTTCAAAAAAACAAAACCTGAGCTCTGTTCTTTCTGAGTACAGAACACTGAATTCAGTTACCTCTAAGCCAGACTCCCTTCATTTGTTCATTAACATACTTGTTCACTTATTTGCATAATATTTTGCTATGGGAATAGAAAAACTTGTGATGGGGCTGCATCCTTTTAACTAGATGTTTGCTTAAGTTTTCCATATTCTGCTTATGATTATAGAAAATGAACATGTTTTATTAAGACATAAACTTACAGTACTCTTTGGCAGTAATTTACATAACTGAATTAGTCTAATATTAAAATTCCCTTTCACTTTGAACCCATGTGCCTTGAAAATGTGTGTGAAGTATATAAGTACGTAAATTGTGAACAAACAAATATTTATGAGAGGCTAATTTGAAACTAGGCATCTTCATATATATATATATGTATATATATATATATACATATCCCATTTAACTTCATGATAAATTATCATTTAATAAGTCAGGGGTCTCAAAGATAATAAGAATCATTTGAATTCAGGTCTTCTAAGGCCACAGCATTATCATTATTATTATTATTATTATTATTATTATTATTATTATTATTATTATTATTATTATTATTATTTTTTCTTTACCAGCTATCCATAGCTGATAAGACTATAGAAGTTAAATTATCACTGTTAATTTGGATCCTTACTGCCATCTCCAATTTAGACTATGAAGTGAATGAAAAAATCCTTTGGTCCCCAAAGTGGGCAGTTACTCTGTAGGGCTCCCCCCCATTCCACATCCCATCATTACTCTTCCAGGGATCGTCATGTTTAAGGAGGCAGACAATGACAATACCTAGTGTTTGGCATGGATAGTCACAGCCCAGGCTAGAGTGAGGGATGGGGAAATCTCACTCTGTTAAACTAGAAATTGAATAAAGGAAAAAATAAACTTACTTTCTTTATTTGGGTCATAAACATTGCAACGAAAGAGGAGTTTCTGATTCAAGATACGACATTTGTGAGCCTTTATCACCTAAAGAAATCAAGTACATCACAGTACCAACTATAAAAAATCACCAAATCTTCCAGAACTGTGAAAGGTAGAGGCTTGATATTGTCAGAGCATTTTATCAAGACAGCATTTTCCTAACATTACATGGGAGCAGATTTATCTATTTAAAAGTCAACCTTCATTCACTGAAAATCTAGAATCAGTACTATCATCGTGATTTATCCTTTGTCATAATTGAACATACTTCATTTTAGCCTTTTTAAGTTCAAAACGTTTACACTGTATTTCCTTTCCTTAGCATTAATTAAAAGCCTGCAGTATGTGGCATTTAGTAGTTAGTGCTGACACACACAAGTATTAATCTGACTAAAATTAGCCTAATTAAGATTGTTATTAAGCCGTACACAAAGCATAAGTGCGCAACACAGTAGGTAGCAACTACCTTGGCTTTTAAATAACATTTAAATTGAAATGAGGTTGAAGTATATTCAGATATCTGCCAGACCTTCCTCTTTAAAATAAAAACATGAAAATTCAAATTCTAACTCCAAGACCTTTGTGGCATAGAATCAGCCTAGGTATCAGTCCCTTTTTACATAACCAGTAACTTTCTATGAGTTCCAACCATTGTCAGTGATACAAAGTTCCTTTTTCAGTGGGAACCAAAGTGTTTAATAAATTAAAAACCAAGTCAAGGATCCAAGCACCTTCATCAAAAGTGGGATTATTTTAGCAAAACTACATTTTCTCTATTACGGTTTTAGAACTAATACACTTTTCAAAGGCACATCGCAGCACCCAGCCACTGCACAGCACCTAATCAGAAGAGGTCTGTAAACACTAAAGGATGTAACGTGTAAATATCTAGCCTGAACTACTCATTCATCCAACTGTTCATTTGTTTAATAACAAGCATATCAGTGTTCTCAGGTTCTTATTTTTAAAGTTTAAATTAACACTGGAATTAAGTTGGTGGTGAAGTAGACCATCTAGTAGAGCATCTGAAGCAATAATTGATGCCCTAAAGATATATTTGTGTATCTGATCTCCATGTAAATGAGTTACCGGTTCATAGTCAGAAATTAAAACACAAACTGAAACTAAATCTCCTGAAATGAGTCCCAGTTGTCTAAAGAGAAACAAAAGACAGAATATGGATATCTCAGTTCAAATACAGGAACACACCACTAATAGGAAATACAATAAAAGTAAAAAAAATTCCATTCCAACAGCAGGTGAGAAATATCATCCACAAAGGCAGCAGATACATATGACAATAAAATTATAGCTGCCTCTGTGAGAGTGGTTTATGGACACCAGTATGTTCTCACATAAGCAATTTGAGGAATTGCTCATGTGAGAAATTTCCCAGAATTTTCTATTCTGGGAATTTGCCAAAATCATGGATCATGGCTCAATAGAATTTCATACTTATGGCTGTGTTACATATCAGAGACTAATACATCAAATTACCCATTAAAAAAACCCATACTTTGCTCAGTCAGTAAACTGAGCCAATAACTGAAGAATCTT